CAGTGCAGTTTTACGACAGCATCGTGCTGGGTCTCATGAAGCTCTCGAGGCATTTAAGGTCCCAAAGATGGCCTCCCGATGACATGTTGGTCATTGTTGGTCTTTTGGGCTTCAGGCCTAGGGTTCCAAAGGATGAGAAGCACGCCCGATGCGTAGATGCCAGGTCCCCGCGCAGACATGGGCACTTGATGAGAGTTCGGCATTGTCATGATGCATGCTCGTTGGGATGGGGGTGGCGGGGGGGGGGGGGGTTTGGAGAACCGCAGAGGATGTTTTCAAGTGTTTCCAGCCGTCAGGTCGTGTAGGCTTCGGCTGGAACGAATGGCGCCTGGTAAATTCGCTCATCCCCAAGTTAGGGATGTTTTAGGGCTTAGGGTTTCCGGTTTAGGGTCTAGGCTCCATCTGCATTCCTCGCGAGGGTTCTTCTGCGCTTTCGATGAAGTTTGGCGTGTTGGGCTGCTGGCTGCTGGCGGTTGGCGCTCATGGACGCGGTCACACGCTAAGGACATACGCCCAGAGAGCTGTGGAGTCAGAGTTGTTCGTATTTCAGCGGGAGAGCTTCGATGCCTCCACGTGAAGAAAGCAGAAAGCGATCAGTCAGAATCATTCCCATCGCCTACTTCTCTAGCTTTCTGACTGTGGGTTGATTTGGGCTCCCAAGTCCCAAGATGTCGGGAGGACCAGCCTGCGATCGCTGGACTATGCACGGAAGGCTGCCCTTCACGCGCCAGCACAGTGTGCCAGACTGTAAGAGCCAGAAGCCTTGACCCGTGGTATCACCCTTGGTATCACCCTGATGGACAGGTGCAAGCAGCCCTAAGTCAGGAACGAGGAGGCCATCGCAGGTGTAAGTGTAGGCCAGTGTAGGCATGGACAGACCGTGACCACACAGTATGTCCAGATGCAGGATTCCTGCGAGTACGGAGGCAGTGAGTTCTTCTGCTTCCCTTTGAAGTGCCCGAAGCCAGGCTGGGATGACTTCGAAGACCAGGAAGAAGAGCCAGACTTGCCTCTCGATCTTCAATCAGAGAGCTCGGAGAGCTTCAGCACCTTCGGCCCCCCCCCCCCCCCCCGAACAGTTTGAAGCCCAACTCCGAAAGGTCAGGAGTCCAGGGAGTCGGCGATCTCGCCTCCGGAGTGGATGTGGCAACGTTCTCAGTGCATTCTCCGAGCTGAGTCCGAGGGATTCCAGGAGTCAGGATGAGCTCTTTTTTTTTGTTTTCATACGCTATGTGGCAGCACAATAGAACATGCGACCACATGCTGCAATATCTCACAACACAAATGCACATGCATATGCAGTTACAAATGCACGTGCAATTGCACGTGCCAATGCTACCAGTACAAATGCAAGTGCAATGCACACGCAAATTCCAGAGTCAACACCAATGCCGACGCCAATGCCATTACCAATACCAATACAGTACAATACAATACAGCCGCGGGACGTGCACGTCGGCAGTCAAAGTGGTGCACCTTTGAGTGTTCTTCTTGTCTTAATGAACAGTAAATAAAGGCTTGCAGTGTCAGCAGGCGGTGCAAAGCCTTCGGTGCACTTTTGTTGTTTGTGATCGTGTGCCTGTGAGAGTGGGTGCTACAGGTTGCGGGCGAAAAGCCGCAGCATTTGCACCCACCCATTTATACGCTCCCTCAGGGGAGCAGGGTTGTGGTGCGGGGGGGAAAGGTTGTGGAAGGGAGACCAGATCCTGGTCTGGCTTGTTCCAGACGTTTGTCGGAAGCCAAGGCGAATTGTACACGCTAGCTCATGCTGCTTCAGCAGCCGGGCCCAAGCCACCAGACGAGCCTGGCGGTCCAAGCGGCGCACCTGGGAGTTTCCCGTCCGCAGATACGGAAAGCGGTCGCGGGTCGAGGAACAAGATGCCCGAAAGCAGCCGACTCGCACGCCTGAAGCTTTGAAACTGCAGCGTTTGTGAGCTTGGGGCACGTGTACAGGCTTGCTGGAATCTCTGTTTGCTGGATTCGCAGCGAAGGCATGCAGTGTCAGCAGGCTGTGCAACACCTTCGTTGCACTTGTTGTCTGCGCTCGCCGGCGCTCGCGTGCTTGTTGCCAAGTGAAGCTTGACGCTGTGAAGGCAGCAAAGAAAGAGTTTTCCCACCCGCCGACCTGCCCCAACGGGATGCCACTGGGCATCGTGCTGTGCATGTTTCCTGCATCTAAATCGCAGTTGGGCAAAGGCAACTTGACACACATACTTGATCCTCAGCATAGCAATTGTGTGGTCATCCGTGCCTTCAAAGACGCAATGCCAGCGTTTAAAGCATTGACTTCTTTCTCCAATCAGACTAGTTGCGCGTCAGCCACTTGAAGGCAATGCAGGCGCTGGATCCTGGTCTGTTCGGGCCTCACCAATGGGTCAACAGGCTTTGTGGTCATTTTTCTGAAGATCCGTGCAGAGACCGCATTGAGTTGCAGTTGGTTTCCAGCTTCCAGCTTTGCACCCTTTTGCCTTCTTGTTTTCGCATGTCTTGCAGATTTCTGTGCTGCCTGTGGCCATACTTGCTAGCGAGAGTCATGCATTTTCTGGGGTGCAGGGCGACACTGGAATGAAGAACCACCTTCGACCTGATTGTATGGCCAGGACTTCCACAGACAGAGAATCCCTGGATTCGCAGTTCCAGAGGGTCGGGGGCCCAAACACAGAGCATCTCATGGCATCTCTCCTTAGCCTCCTTTGAATTTAAGAGGGATACTGCACATCCAGCTTCAGATTCAAGGCAAGCAGCATTAAGCCCTGTTCCCAGGAAGCTGCCGGAATAGCAGGAGCGCCTGGACCTCGGAATCTGCCAAGCCTACGTGCTTCATGCGTCGTACACGTAGTCCGTACTTCGCGACCCTTTCAGCCGTTTGGGTCCCTTTGAAGCGACAGACAAAGCTCAACACAACCCTCAGCCCCTGAGGCCAACCCCCTACCCTCCTTTCCTGGTCGATCGAGGTCCGGCGCAATGGATGACTTCGATCGCCTGGGGGAGGTTGGGGGTGAGTTAGGTGAGTTGAAAAGGTGCTTGGCAGCTGCAATTCTGGTACTCTGGGCCGGTTTGTGCTGTTGCTGGGTTTTCGGGGCCCTCTGACTATGACTGGCACAGTGGATACCCAAAGTTCTCAGACTAAACCTGCGTTCATCTTCTCTTTCTACCGTCAAGTCAAGTCCATGTGTGCCGGCTGACTTGCTAACTCAGTTCTGTAGCAGCTGTGCAGCAGCAAAGCTTGTCATATCAAGACAGCCAGCGCTTGTTCTGGCCAGTCCACCCTGAAGCCTGTCCAGTCGGGGACCCCAGACGTGCCTGGCAAGCCTCGCAGCTGTCGTTGCGCCATCTGGCCAGCTATCCCGCCGACATGTGCGTTTCGAGATCAACGTGGATCGGAACAGCCCAAGACCCCCCAAAGATGATGATCCCAAGCGGCAAAGTCTACCATGCTCAGGTTCATGAATGTCCTTATTCGAGGATTCCCAACAACCAGCTATCAGTCGTGGGTGGGCTTCGGGTTCCCTTCTTTGTTGCGTACGTTTTTGGCGCACTCAAGATTGTGAGGGACATGAGACAGCGGTGGTAGGGTGCTGGGCACTTGCGATCTCGTTCGGCATTTCGGGAGAGCCGGAAATTCCTTTTCGACACCGCAGTGCCGAGGCCAGCCTCGAAACCCAGCTCGAACGCTGCCAGTTCCGTGGAGCCTCACGGCACAAGCTTTCAAGATTCGTAGCAGATCCCCGTCCTTTTTTTTTTGGTGTGTTTTGTTTCTCAAGTCAATGACCCAGATTAGGCCCCTCAAGTGCCACGCCTAAACCCTAAACCCTAAACCCTGTCCTACGTCAGACAGCAAAAGATTGGACCAAGTCCGGATGCCGTTCCAACTGATGACGACCCCGAGCTGGCGAACTTGGAGAGGTTGCGAACTCCTGGCATTGAGCATGAGTCAGGGAACCTTAAGACTGAAGGTATTGAAGTTCACGGGTGCCCCGATTGCACGTCTTGCTGTGTTCGTTGGGCTTGAGTTGCCATCACCGCAGTGCGGATCTCTGCCGAAACGGCTTGGAAACAGCTGACTCGTCAAGCTTCTTCACGCATTACATATCATTACATCTCAAAATGGGCTGGCACCGCTAGACCCCTGCAGATCTGTGCTGAACCTGGCGAACCAGGGGGCAATGCCGGGGATGTGGCTTGGAAGCGCTGAAGGGGCCAACAGGTGTGTTTGTGTGACATAGAGCTGTGCGATATAAGCCAGTGCAGGTCTCATGAGGCTCCATCTAACCAAACTCCTCATAGTCACATATGACTTGACCATATCACCAGGGCCGAGTCGTGAGGTATGTACTTGACCGACAGTGTCTGTGAAGCCTGGTCACTCACGCTGTAGCACCAAGGGTCGCATTCATTGAAGAAGTCCGAAAGATCCTCGAGAGCAAAATGAGAAAGGACGCTCAGAGTGGCTCAAGCTCTCGAAGGTTTTCTTGTGGCGTCTTTGAGGGCGTCCTTCAAGGTTGAAACTGAAATGCCTGTGCAGACACAGAATGCAATCGTGGCAGCGTTGCCGGGACGCCTGCCGATGACACAACCATGCTGTTTTTGCTGTTGTCACCAGCGAAGTTGCTGACATGAGAGCAAACAGGGCACAGACTGTCGAGATGCAAAGCTTTCTGCAGCGGCGTGCAACAACCCACACCGACCACGGCCCCTCGCACAGGAGATTTACGAGCAGCACAATGCCACGAAGCGGTCTCTGGAAGCAGGGGCCTATTCAGCCTGAGTCGCACAACCCATTCATGTTGGTAGTGCTTGTGAAAGAACATGTCCTATTGCACACTTTGAAAGCAAGGCCCAGTACGACAATGTCCTCAAATGTTTCGTCGAGGACACTTGGTATCTTTCGGGATTTACAACTCATGTGTATGGGGTTGGACGTTCTTTTGGTTTTGAATCCGGTGAGCTAATTGATTAATTGCTGAGACTGCCGAGCAACTTGTTGGGATTGCTCCGCGATGGCCAAGTTCTGTCCTCGGAGACGTAAGTCTCGACAGGACGTTGAGGGCTACAAAAACGCCTCAGCGACCGCGGCCAGCTCCCCAGAACAGCAAAGGACAAGCATCACCATTGTACTTATTATACTTATTATACTTTCTATACTGATTATACTTATTATACTTATTATAATACTCATCATACTTATTATACTTATTTTACGTATTATACCTATTATACTTGTCATACTTATTATACTTATTGTACTGATTATACTTGTTATACTTATTATACATGCTGATCACTCTGTGCTGGACTGGCTTCGTGCGTGATTCGGCACTCGCCCCAAAGGCCAATGTTTCGCGCTACAGCCCCGATGGCTTCCGGCTGCCTGTGCTGGCAAATGAGCATAGGCGGGCTATCACTGTCTTAGAGGTTCGCCTACGCAGATCTTGGTTCGGACGCAGTCTGCTGCATCAGTTCTGCTCGACTCCAGGTTTGCATCCCTGTCGCCCATGCTGCCAGCAAAACAAACCCATCAGTCCGACATTTTTGCCAGGAACTGTCGCCAGATCCAGGCAAAGGTGCAGAAATACTGGGAGGCCCGCCATGCCCTGCTCGTCAGCGTCAAAGCATGCTGCCCAATACTTAATATGCTGCTCACTCGACACACCTGTGACTCCAACCTTCATACCAAGTGCAGTCACACGGCAGAGTGGATTGCTGTTTCTTGGACACAAACAGAGATTCCCCGATGACAAGCGGCAATTCCTGCACGCCGGACGTGTGAGAGTAATTAATGTGTCAACCGTGTTCCCGCAGGATAGTCTTGTCCCATGTAGCGGTTGTTGTTGCATGCCTTTTTGTGTGGCTTCTTTGTGCTGAGTCAGGCATATTTAGGGATCAAGAATTTCGGAATTCAGTTGGGGCAAGTACGGGCGCCTTGGTGGCCTTTGTGCGATTAGCACATGACCTTTCGTGCTAGTGCTGCCTTGCTCTCTTATTGATGGAATCACTGTGTGCACTTGTTTGCAATGGAAGAGAGTATTTTGGGGTTGACGTTTCGAATGGTTGGGTGGCGATTGGCGTGGCAAACTAGGAGGAACCCTTCCAGGTAGTTTTGCACTGATTCCAATGCTGTGCATGCAGCGAGTGCGCCCCAACGAGCCCGTACGAGTTCGTCAGCCACTCTGATCTTATGAACAATATGCATGTTCGAGGCAATGGAGGAGCTGGCGAAAGATGCCAAGGCCGGTGCTTTCTGCAATCACCGAAGTAGTCGGGCCAGCTTGATGCACTTGGTCGTCTCAGGCTTCTTTGTGGTTGATTGTTGCTTCTTTTGTTAGATGTTTGGACTGCTGCAGTGCCCCCTGTGTATTGAGGCACGAATGGAGGTCCTGTGCGCGTACTATGCGGGCAACGAGACCTCCAGGACCTTCCCTGCCGCGACCTCGTGATTTCAGCAGAGGGTGTTGTCGTGTGATGCTGCTAACAGAAGATCCCGCAAGCGCAAGTTCCTGGATTGCCAGTATTCCACAGGTTGTCGGTTGTCAAGCAGTGGGAGCAATGGGTTCCCTTCCGAGTCGTCTAAGCCCATTTCATTAAGTCCGTGCTGTCGGTTACTGCGGAGCCTGGTGACGGAGCCTGTGATGGATGTCTTGAGCTTCCCACGGCCTCCCTCCTCCAAAGTCCGAAATATGAAGCGAACAGCCCAGGGCTAATGGGGTGGGGTTGACCGGCACTAACTCATAGTTAAGCAGTCGATCAAGCCAGCTAGCAGCATGGCAAGTGTTGGCGCGCATGAGTTAAGTTCAATGAGGGCAGGAAAGACGTGAGGGACCGCAGAAAGCTGAAGCCTGTATTCGACCCCAGGTCGGCACGTCGAGGGACTGCCTTTTCAACACAGACCGCTACCCTGCAGGCAGCGAGAGGAGGCCCGCGTTGTGTTTTTTGATGGGGTTTGGTGGCTGTAGTACTCTCCTGCTGCAGTGCCTTCGAAAACGCTGGGTTCTGCGCCGAATTTAGAACACATCATGCCGAGATTCCGATACTTCTTGGAGGTATATCGACTTCCTGCAAGACCAGCTTGCTTGGTGGGACAAGGAGTACATGAAGATCCGCCAGTCCCGCATCTTGTCCGCAGGAGAAGATCAACACCATGCCACTTTGTCCACTTCGCTCTTGTTTGAATGCTTGCCTCGGGATGCCCATTGGGATTGAATTGGATTTGGTCAAGGGTCTCTTTGTTGCCCTGTGACACTCTCGGAGAATCAAGCAAACCCTTGGCACTCTGAGAGGACGTGTAGGTAGGGGTTCGAGGGATCTGAGTTCATGAGCACCCCTTCCGTGTAATTCTATTTGCCGTGGCCTTCCTTAGCCAACCGGTCTCATCCGTTTCCTGAAGTAACAACACCCGACAAGGTGAACAGTGCGAGCAGGCCAAGCAGGACGCGGGGCAGTCAAAAGAGGAGTTGAGTCCAGGAAGCCCCCAGATGTGCAGCGAGCATCTCAATGAGTTGTTTGTTCCATAGCTTGGGACAAAGTGCAAAGGCTATGGGCAAATTTAGGCAGCATTGCAGTTACCTTGAGCAAGATCAAGTCCAGGATCTTGAAGATTATCAGCGACACGCAGCCGAAGCCAAGAATGCCTGGGACCCTGTTGGGTTGGATCAGCTGGGCTCTTCTGAGCATGCCCTCAATCGTCCCAAGGTGTTCGGCCAGAACCTGGCCTACTGTGCCAAAGCGCAGGCTCTGAGAACTGGGAACCTGAGCTTGGGAGGTTGATGGGGCTTGAGGGTCTTCGCAGGATTGGCCATGGCCACCGACCCCTTCTACCCCCCCCCGGCGTACTTAGTGTACTTGGCAGTGTATTTGCATGCAGCGCAAGTTGCACAGGAACCGAAATCGCTTACAATAGCCCTGGTTTGGTCAAGTCGTTCAAACCTTGTCAGCTTTTGAGGAGTCCTTGGATGAGGCCTCGTGCTCCTACAAGGCAGCAGTCAAGGAGGTCCCGGGTCGCAAGGGGGGGGAGGGGGGGGGGGGTCAAGGTTTAGCGATGAGCTTGCCAGTTCGTGGCGCTGACAGCCTTAATCTTTGCTGCTACTGTCAAGAACGTTCGGAAACAGGCTGGACACCCATATCTGCGGGTCGCTTCTAGAGCTTACCGGAGTTGCAATAAAGGGGTGGTACATCAGTAGCTGCACACGCATGAGGGTGTGGTTTGTGTCACAGATCATGTGATCAAACCTCGAGCCAATTGACCAATGAACTCCCATGGCCAGAAATGCACCGATGCTGGAGGCTGCGTGGATGCTTGGCTGCAAAAGTATGCAAAAGTACTCTTTTGCAGTCTCTTCCAGACTGCATGGGCACTGTCTGCCCTGCTCGCTCAAGCCTCCCTCACACGAACCAATGGCTAAGCAAATGACACACGGGCACCTTGTGACTCATCTGCACTGAGGACAACAGCTGGAAGACCTACAATGGTACTTTGCAACAGGCAAAGGTGGAGGAGACCTTCCTGAAGGACCCAATGCTCAGTGAGCAAGGTCCTTTCGTTCTTTTGCTTGCCTGGATTTGCTCAATCATGCCCACCTTGCACAGGCACAGATGAGAGCAGTGATGCGAATCGACTGCTACCTGGGCGTCTTCGAGCCACTTGGCGTGTTTTTGTTGGAGCTGTGCAAAGTTCCTCTCGTGAAGTCATTGTCAGCTCAGGCTGAAGGATGTCGCAGCTGGAATAGAGGCGTGCAAGCACAAGGCTCGAGGGACCAGAGCCCTGATCTCGACCCCTTGTGAATGCAACAGCTAGAGCGCCCCCGCAACTTGCAGTAAGGACACGGTGACGTCGTCACGGGTTCTGGCTGTTAGTCGACATCGGAGTCGATTTTTCAGTCACTCGCCCTGGCCCTTTACCGCTGCTCTTGCCGTCGGTCATGTCCGTCGAAACAAGCACCCGGTCTCTGCGCACCTGCTTGCCGAGCGCTCACCGCATGTAGAAATCAGGAGATGCCACGGTCTGGCGTAGAAGAGTCGTCAACCACCCCAGCAGTTCTCGCACAGCGAAAAATCATTGCGAGTAGTGTACAGAGCGTGTCTAGGTTGCGCAGCAAGACCCCGAGACAAGACATCTTGGCTACAAAACATCCGAGCAGCATGCAGGTGATCTCCTGTGTTGTAACAGTGCCGTCTTCAAATTCTGTGTTCGTCATCGGTTCTGTTATGTTCTGTTGCTGCCCAAGCCCAACCACTGCATCCACAATCATTCCCACAGATAATCAGCGTAGCATGAGCCCAGCATGAGCCTGAAGCAGGGCTGGTATCAGGGCATTCAGGAGACACTTGCCACGTGCAACAGTCCCCAAAAAAGCATGCTACTTGGATTGTTTCGACCGCACGGGAAGCAGTCCGGAGCTATCGCAGAAGGCCGAATGGCTGCTGTCTGGGGCCGGAAAGACGAACCACGCTGAGAGACAACAGCGAGTCAGCACTACCATCGCATGACAAGGATGCTAGGCATGGGCCGCGGCATGGGCCTTTTGCATCTCAAAGTAGAGAGAAGCAGCTGCAGAGCAAGCCATGATGACATGGGTGTCATGATCTGGCACATGCTCAAAGCCTGGAAGGACTACCGAAATCACACGAATGTTACTGCCATGGAGTTGCTGGGCTTACAACAGAATCAGAAGTATTTAGTTCGTGGGGATGAGGGTGACGATCTTCATGTCATAGGCACGCAGCATGAGGAGCTGAAGAGCTTTACAGCTAGTTGTCTGGCGGCCTCGGAAAACTCAAACTCCGTCAAACCCCCAAGCATTCCTAGGCAGATGGCCTCAGCCCTAGGTTTCCGACGCAGTCGAAGCCGCATGTCCCTGCATGCCGCTACGAAGCTCGGCCCGCAACATTGCTTGTTTCTGTTTCGTGGATGGTGTGTTCGGGTGAGGGTGAGGGGTCCAAGCTTGGAGTTCAGCTCCGAATCGCGTCCTGTTTGGTCTTTCTGTCCTTCTGAAGCGACATATGCGGAAAAGTAGGCCGTTGGAGGCTGTGTTGTTGGCTTGTGTCCCTGCTCCATTAACCGCAGGATTTCGCGGACATCGCCGGGTACTGCTCGTATGAAGGCGTGGAACTGCGCGTGCAAAAGTTCAGTGTAGACGCAGCAAGCTGCAGTGCAGCAACGTCTGGCATAACTCACAAGATTTTACCGTAAAGGAATCCGCACAGCTGACTCAACTCCTTGCCCTCACCCCTCTTTGCCGTCAGACAAGTACTACAGCCACACCTTCGGACTCAGTGCCGACCTCATTGCAGCTACTCTAAGGGGAAGCGTGGAACAGCGCCGTCTGAGGAGAAACGTCGTAGGGATGAAGCAGCGGGGCTTCATGTTTGGGCTCACTGAGGGTTCCGGCTGTAGAATCCTTTGTGGCAGACGCCCAAGCCATGAGTTGCTGAGTGCTTCCTTTGCTGAGGCGATCCATGCACAGCTTCCTGCTGCAAAGCTGGTGCATCCTGCAACGCCTCGACTCGCGAGACCGTCTGAAAACTTCGGAACCCAAAAACAAGCCTTTGTAGGCTCTGGATCTCAACAAGCCCAAATTGTCCCGAACCAAATTTCAGAAGCCAACCCTACGTGAAGTGCCTCTAAGAGCTACGAATCATCTCTCTCATCTTAGTGCCCTGTACAATTTACAACACTTGAGAAGATGCCCCGTGTCCCTGTGTCGCCGAAGTGCCGACCTGGAGACTTTGACCACTTTTTGTGTGGACCCCGCTGCGGGCCGCGGAAAAGAGGGTCACGCCCTGCACCTTAGTGGGCTTTTCCGTGACGGGCAAGTACTCAAACGGTGAAGATGAAGCGCGCTTTTTTCTGACCACTGCCACGACTGTCGCACTCCTGCACCAAGGCTGCAATCCTTCGGAAGCTGGCGTTTGGCGGTGGAGGACTTCTGCGGCATCATGCCATGCCATGTTTGCGGCATGAAGTTAGAAGTAGACTACATCTCCAACAGCTGCTACATCTCCCTCTACAAAGGGGAGGCCTCCAGGTTCCGAAGGTGGATGTGGAGTCTGCGCCACCCACATTTACGTGGGAGTATTTGCGGTCGAGTTACCCAGTCAACTCAGTCAACCAGTAAACCCTCTTTGGACAGCACCATGACCTCTTACTGCAAAGCCCCAAGCGAGAACCAAGCTTCTCGCCAGGAGGGCAGGGCGACGCAGGATCTGGCACAGGCCGGGATGGCACGGACTTTGAGAAAGTTTGAGAGCTGTGAGAGGGGGCAGGCAATTCTTGCATGCGCTTCTTTTCTTGATTCAGCTTGCGGCTTTTTGGCTAAGCCTGCAGTCGCAACTTTCGAAGGCGCAGGCCAGCAAATGCTCGGCCGTGGACCAGGCCTTGCAAGATCTCACAAGTCGCAAGTAGTTTAGTGCCTGCCTAGTGCCAACAATCAGCCATCGTCATCTCCACGATAGCACGTGCATCTCAAGGTTGTTCCATCCTGAATCCTCAGTCTCAGGACGCGACAGCATCGCGCACCCCTGTTTGCTTTCCTTGTCACATTCTCTGGTCTCTTCTTCCTGCTGTTGCAGTAGCGGCATCATGTGTGCACAGCGGTGTGACACTTGGAAGTATCCCAAGCCTGTCCAAGCACTGCTAGACCAGGCCCTCCAGCAGGCAATGATGGCGCCAGGGGCTTTGCTTGCAGGCTACAGCAAGTGCCAAGAGACTTGCACATGCCCGTATCCAACTGGGTCGAGGTTTTGATTTGGGATAAGCCAATGACAAGAGACAAAAGGCGATCCGAGCCGATGAGAGGGGGAGCCGACGGAGGCTCCCTAACTGAAGTTCTAAATGATGCATCCTTGGTCTTTGGGCAAGTGCCAGACTGTGGGACCTTAACGCTCATTGAGGAAGCCTAAGGATGAAGTTTCGGAGCGGGTGATGTAGCTTAGCAAGGCTTGGATCATGGTGCAAGTGGTGCGAGTATAGCCAACTGAGGCTTGAGCGATGCCAGGAGCAGCCGGGGTTGGAGACCAAGCCTCCATGGAGCCATGGCATCTTTCTGAAAAGCCCGTGGTACACAACGTTTTCAAAGCAAACCAGAAAAACCCGGCCCGTTTGCGGCCTGACCCTGGTTCGCACCTCCACGAAGCTCAGCCTGTGAGGCCCTTTCATTGTCAGCTCCTTTCGGCCTGGCGGGGGCTGATCCTGCAGCGGAAGTCGCGCCAGGATCCCAGCCAAGGAAGGGCCTCGTACACTCTTTTCAAGCGTCCGAAGCCTCTGCCAAAGAACCCCCCCCCCCCCCCCCCCCCCCCCCCCCCCCCCGGATCCCTCACACCTCTACATCTTCCCCGATGTGTCTCATCTGCTTGGCTTTTCTGGGCCATGGCCTTCTTGCAGAATGGGCCCTTGCATGTAGGGTACCCTTCAGTGGACGAGCATGTGCAAAGCAGCCATATTGGGTTTGATGTTGTTAGCTCGCGGCTGCTTCAGGTGACCGACACAAGCACCAGGCGATGCAGCTGGCCTTCACACGCGGAAGCGGCGCGGAGGAGCCGCGACACATTCTGAGACATCAACGTTTCGGAATCTGGGTGCGAACGTTCATGGAGGCATCGACCAGACCCCTTCAGCACCTGCCACTTCTGCAAGCTCTAGTGGCCCTAGCTGTCAGCTCTAAGATTCTAGGACTGTAAGCTCCAATCTACAACTACACATCCCTGTATGTATAAGATCCTCGTGGCTAAGCGCCGCTTGACGTGCTGCTGTCATGAGTGGCGAAGCCGTGCCTTTCGCTCTTCGGGTGGGTGTTCTCTTTCCTTCTGCCCAGCTCCTTCGAAACCTCCCTGATTTCAAATATCGTACCAGGTAGCTGTAGCATTAACGGATTCTTGGTTGCAATGGTAACAAAACTTTCTGCATTTCCGAGAAGCTTTCACGAGCTGTCCAGGATGTTTTGGTAGCTTCCTGCCGTGGCCTAAGTCTGCAGTGTGAGGCATCTCCTGTACCTGCAAATGGCAGCTCGGTGATGTCAGTGGAACAACAATGGGGGCAACTCACATCAGGCTTCTCCGGCTGGCGGCGTGCCCAAGAGGCTCCGATCCTGTCCGAGCTTGGATTTCGCTGCGTTGGAAGCCACCCCATTTGCTCGACGTGCCTGAATTGGCATAGTCGGCATCGTCGTTTCGCAACATCATGAACGGAACTCTCCACCCCTCATGTGGTACTACCCATTTCATCTCTTGCTCTGGTAAGAATCCCTAATGCTTGCCATCAAGGCCATCCCGTTCTTTATTGAGTAGAGTGAGCTGAGGGCCCCGTTCTGGTACTCCATGGGATGTCCAGACTTTGGAGGCGTGGCGTCAGCAGCGTGCCCAAGATGAGGCCCCGGCAAGGGAGGACAGGTTAAAGACTGCGAGAGCCCTTGGGCGCTTGCATCCGGGCTACTGAAAGGAAGATGTCTGCTCACGTCTCCTCGTTTGGGTTCGGAGGTTCGGGAGGCATCCCCCGTGTCCTCTTTACTTCCAAAATTTGGAGTGGCGTTGTTTTTGTGCAGGTTGTAGTGGGTTACTTCCCCTTTCACATCTCAGACTCCTGAGGTTTGGGCAAGGTCTCCCCCGTTTAGGTCTTTCCATGTTGGGGTTCAGGGTTTGGAGAGCATGTTCCTTTAGGTTGTAGGGCCCCTTCGGTAGCTTGCTTCTGGAATTTTCACCCAAGGATGCATGTTTCCATATCGTCGATGTCCGTGTCGAGGTTCTATGGTTCGCGAAAGAATCTAAAGCGAACACTGGCAAGACATCCTACTTCCAGCTCGCTGGATTGGAAGCAGCAGACATTCGAAGTTACAGGCCATAGCTTGACATCCTGATTGTGTGCTTTTCAGGACGTCCCATTGCTGTGTACCGGAACAAGGGACTACCGGAGAGCGAAAGCACACATAAGCGAGTCAGTGATGCGCACTGTCAGCCTCGAAAGGCAGTACAAGGTGCCGATAGCAGTACGACTGGTGACACGGCACGGTAAACCGATGCCCATGCCGAGGAAAGCAGAACCATCAGTCACTGATGCGGTTCTAGTACAGTAGCTCTAGTAACTCTAGCAGTATTTCTGGTCTCCATGCACTGACAGTCAGTAGAGATAGCAGATGTCCTGGACTATAGCCGCTGATGAGAAATGCAGCCCCATCATTGTCTTGTTACTGTCGGGTACGGTTGTGATTGTATGGCTCGGATTCGTCACGCATTCCTGTTGCTGCACGAAAGCCTTAAAATACAAAGCCTTAGCATACCGTTATCTTGCTGTTCGTGACCTCCTTCTGCAGCAAGGGCGAATCTCGCAACGTTAGTCTTTAGGTGCATTGCGCTGCGTGCCCGGAGAACTCGAATCATGAATTGTGTTGGGCGGCACAGACAGAACTGTGAATTGTGGAGGGTTGTCAAAACCCTGTCCAGCAAGATTGGTCTTGCTGATTGTCTTTTAAGGATCTGGGGAAACGGAAAGCTCGACCTCTTGCTGCCAGGCGGTGGCCGGAGCCCGCGCAACCACACGTTTGAAGACCTTAGGTGCGCTGAGGCCAGGAAACCAAGCCATTCGAAGCGGTTGTGTTTCTCATGTGAACATCCGTCTAGCCTCCGAGCTCACATACTCCAGCGTCATGAGGGCTCCTCAGCCAGGCGAAGTGAGGATGCGGAGTACGAGACCTTGCTCCTTTTTCACTTCCTTGTGGCGACCTTGGGGTTGAGTTGGCTGCTTTGAAGAGCAAGTGTTGAGGCTGGTCCTCAACCCGAGGCGTGGCTTCGCTGCTTACTCCAGGGCAAGGTGGAGAAAAGCCAGAAGGCCATCTCGGAAACCAAAGGGCCTGGCAAGGAACTCGTAGAGCTCAGGTTAAGGTTTTTGGCACTGGGGCACAGCATCGTGCAGCGTGATGTCGCCCATTGTTTGCTAGATGAGTGTCACATCGCCCACAATTGCTTACTGACTAGGGCAAAGTTTCGACGTGTTTGAATAACAGCCCTGGTCTGGCATGCAGGAGAAGGCAATGACGCACGCCTTCGGCCAGCTCATGCTCGATGACGAGATGCTCAGGTATGCGGCTGTAGAAGCCGTGCGTTCATGGTCAAGCTACAGCCCCTGAGCCTCCTAGCCCAACTGACCCGATGTAAGTTGCCATCACGTTGCGTCCCGACTCGCGAACTCCTCGCTGGTTGGATAAACGCAAGGTTTTGCTTAAACCTGGTGGTAAAAGAGATCGCATAAAGCTGGAATTGGTGCAGGTCCCGCTGCTTCAGCGAGTGGCGCCAGTCCGTGCACGACAGCCATCGTGTGGCGATCTCAGTTTGGTGGCCCTGACAGTCCCTTGCCCTACAACATGCAGTAATACAGGTCCTTCTCACATAGGCACAACGCCAACCACGGCATGCAAGCTCTGCTTCTCCAGTCGCTCAAGCTCTCCAGTCCATATTCAGAATAGCTTTGCCCTGACGAGGAGGCTGTGAAGGCTGCGACAGAACGCGAGGCGCTAGTTTCAATGTTTGGAAAGGTTTGCTTGTAGTGCTGTGATGAAGACAAATGGCTCGTGGCGAATATCCGCGACACAGCAGCGTAAGACTGTGAACGCCTTTGCTTTGCCCCTACTGACTACTGCTAAACCCTTGTTCCGAAACGAAATCAAACCTTTGATCCACCGAGGTCGCTTTTATAAATATCTGCGATGAAACATGGACACTTTTTTCACTTTTACCCGCTCCTTGAAGGCAGAAGAGCGGATGAGAGAAGCTCAGGAACAGAAGCTACAAGTGATGAGGCAGGGCTTCAGGGCAGGAAGAGCCTCAGTATCTGCAGCTGCAGTGGTATCTTCGGCTCGATTAAGTCCAGGCAATGACCGTAGCTCCAACTGTTTCGCGTGCGGCAGGCAAGCCTTCAGGAGTTCCGACGAGGTGGGCACTGCATGCCGAGTGGCCATGAAGCCTGACTTGCCTGTATCGATGTATTCCTACGATGTGTACATATACAGATACACAATACACCAGAGTTTGCGTCTAACTCAAAACACATCTACAATGAATCTACAAGGGTCTGGGCAAGCTTCGGGATTCGAGCTCATGCATGCAGGGCGGTCTCCTTTTCAAGCGCTCGGGGGCCGCCCCTTTTGGTTTGAAGACCTTTTTCGATCGCGGTCCAAGGAGTCTTGAATGGGATATAGGGTACCTCTTCAGGACATTGTTTCGGATTCTGTGGCTGCTCTCTGTCGCGAGGCCCTTCTCGGATCGGTCGTGCTGGCATGGCATCACGCATCGAGGCTCTGCTTGGCAGCGAAATCAGGGGTCCTTCTTCTCTTACCCCTCGTCTTGACGTGTCTTGACATTGGAAGTATCTGGAAGGGCAGCTTACTTTAAGGCTTTAGGAGCTACACGTCTGATCACGTGTCTGTTGTGTAAGCAGTGTAAGGGCAGGACCTGCAGAGATTCTGTAGTAGTGAATGTCCCAGATCCTCCTCTCCTTCTGCTCAAGTGAGCTCCCCAAAAAACCCCAAACCCCAAACCCCAAACCCTAAAAACCCAAAAAACCCTAAAAACCCTAAAAACCCTAAAAACCCTAAAAACCCTAAAAACCCTAAAAACCCTAAAAACCCTAAAAACCCTAAAAACCCTAAAAACCCTAAAAACCCTAAAAACCCTAAAAACCCTAAAAACCCTAAAAACCCTAAAAACCCTAAAAACCCTAAAAACCCTAAAAACCCTAAAAACCCTAAAAACCCTAAACCCTAAACCGGCTTTTGGAGGTCTGCCAAGCGCCGCTGCGCAGCGCAGAGCGCCGGTGAGGCTTTGCAAACGAGGCCGATGCCCCGCTTCCACGCCAGATGCTTGCAATCAAAGGTTCCGGTGGGTTTAGGGTTTAGGGTTTAGGGTTTAGGGTTTAGGGTTTAGGGTTTAGGGTTTAGGGTTTAGGGTTTAGGGTTTCCAACACGAGATACATGACAGTGGAGCAGCAGCAGTCAGGTTCATGATCATGTGTTTGGTTCTGGGCACACTCAATTAGTTGAGACCTTGAGCCGAAGGCAGCAAGCTGAAAGAAGCAGGCCAATCCGGGTGGATCAGTGCGTGCTCTCTTATCTCTGGCATCCCAGAGCCTAGAACTCTTGCCAGTTGCCCAAAAGAAGCCCCAAGCTGCTAAAAGCTCATGAAATCTCATGAAGATCCGCGGAAAACCATCGCCCGGCACGCCCTCCCTTGCCAGCTTCTTCGTTGCCCGGGCCTTGGCGGCCTGGCACTTGGCCGCAAGTCGTGCCCTAGCAGCACGCTGCGCGCGGGCCAGACGGCGGTGCGCAGTGGACGAGGTCGGCATGTGAGGGGGATTTCTTGCTCGAAGCTTCAGAGCGCGTGTGAAAAGGAAAAGAACAACCACCGCCAAACAGAGCAGGTCGCTGATGACTTGTCATGCAGATAACATGTATTCCTGAGCAAGGATACGGCAGACGCACAATGTGAAAGCCCCCCGGCCCCACCCAAATCAACAGCTAGGTTTCAAGTGTTGAAGCATCTTACACCGAACGGGATTGACAACAACTGGCAGCTAGACTTGTTGCCGACTACAAGGAGCCTTTGCGCAACACTCGTGTACTACCGAACTCAGAGATAGATGCTTTCTTGTCCAGGAAGGAACTGTAGGGGACTAGGGCATGTGCTAGACTCTCGGGATCTGAACCAAGGGACCTAGACTTGAAGTTTGGGAAGGCAGCCGCGCAGTTTCAGATGTAGCACCACCTTAGCCACCCTGATCACAGATTGTTGGGGCCCCATTCTATTCCTGCACAGAGCCACGCAGTGAGTGGAAAGTTGAGAGTAGCTGGGTTGTGCCCTCAGCCCTACTGGGTGTGCAGCGCAGTAGAGCCCGAACCCGAAATCTCCCTCAGAAGGCTCTGGACACCTGGCTCTGTCGCGCCTTGCAGCGGGGCGTGGACTCTGCTGAGCTCCGCAGCTTCCAGGTGCCTCTTCGCAGAAAGATGCGAAAAGCTGAGATGTTCTCTGAGAGGCGTGCAAGACTGCGTAGTGCCTGAAGTGCATTGTAACTCCTTGAGGTGTAATCCCAGGTGACGCTTGACAAGGTTGCAGTCCATACTTTTCCGGCCAGGGTAGCAGGTGGCGGTCATACTTACCCAGTTGTCATCCGCAGAGTGGGCAGACACATGCCGACGTTCATAAAACGCGCAACTCGTTGACCCGCTCTGCGTTGCCATGCTGCCTCAACAACTTGCTCACAGGATGGGAGGGGTACTGGAACTCGACAGTTTCTGCATGTTTCTGCACGGAGTTGCAGCCTAAAGCCATCTGCAAACCAGGTGTCGCTCCTTGACTGCTGGCGCGAAGCAGCGCCTGCCTCAGATGACTCGCAGCTTTCACTGACATCCGGGAACGTTAGATCCATGACCAAGACCACCTTGAAAATGGAAGTGTGCCTATGAGACAGGGAGTCCCTTGAAAGTTCAAAATGGCTTGGAGGCTGTGGCCCTCCGCAACGCCAGGGGCAGGCTGCCCGTATCCCGAGCCCGGGCAGAGCAGATGAGCAAGGTGCCCCCTGCAAGAAGGAATACTGTAGGGGCCGATTCGTGGCTGTTTTTTGTTCAACATGTTCGTGAAACCTGAGCCATCCTGAGCCATCAAGCAGCATCAAGCAGCTGAAGCCGGAGCCTCCTGAAAAGGAGCTGGGCCTTGGTGCCCTCTGCGGCGCTCTGGAAGCCTGGCGTCGCCTCGGCGCTTTGGCCCCGCGCCGCCGGGGCCGGGAGCGGGCGGTAGCGACGCCCGGCAGCGCATGGCAGCGAGGGCGGTTTGATGCTTTGTTAGGTTCGTCCAGCACCTCGTCCAGTGGAATTACAGGAAGCATAAGCAAGAAGCTCCCCCGATCTTCACTGTTCCCTGTGCGAAGTTTGCGAGTGAAATCGTGCAAAACAGGTCACGAGAGTCCCCCGTGGCTTAGGGCTAGGCGGCCAGGCGTTGCATCGTGCATTTTCCTGGAGCTCTGGCTCGAAGCCCGGAGCTTCCTAAACCCCGTTTAGCTTTGGGGGGATTGAACATGTCATTGTAAGTCAATCGCGAATGGTAGAAGGAGAAGCCATGAGAAGCCCCCCCCCCCCAATCAGAACCATACAACTACAAGGCTTGCAGAGGGGTCTTAGCTCCTTCCGTCTTGCCAGAAACTTCAGCCACCACAACGCATGCACACAGTAGGACAGGCACAACCCACTTTCAGAGGGTAGTAACCCGCACCACCAATTTCAAGAGCTGTCCGAAGCCATGGGCCAGAGTCCGGCTTGCGGTCGCTGGGCTGAGAGACGTTTTGATGCTAAGATTCAAGATGCGCAAGGTCGAATTTGTAGTGGCTGCGGGGCGCAGACTTGTCGATAACGATGAGAATGTACTGAATCGCAGTCAATGTCGTCAGCAACTTGCAGGAAGCAGCGTAGAGGACGAAGATAGGGCAGCGTCGAGTCGTAGTACGTTGGTTTCATGTGCGCCGGACACACAAGCCTGTTACCCCTGGCCTCGTCTGGTACAAGGGAGAGTGCGGCGCAGTGCCAGGAGCGTGCTTAGCTGCTTCCTGCAAAGTCAGTGAGTCCGTAGTAGGAAATCCACATGCGAATCGGCTTCACTCTACCAGGTGATCAAGCGTGCTGCGTGAAGCCTTGCGAGCTCTTTGGCTTCACTTGGGTGCTCCGTGCAACTCCTGCTTCTATCGAAAGTATAGGCCTAATTAGGTCCTCTGAGATCCTTGCGCCGCTTTTTCCCAGGGCGGGGGACCCGGCGGACAGACCCGGTGAGGTCATCGATGTTGTTGAGGTGCCCTGGAGCTCCAAGATTCCCTGTGGATCTGCATAGTAGATCTCACTTGACTTTCACATTCCAACGCCGCTCTCCGGGCCATAACTTCAGCAGCATGCATGAACACAAGATCTTGGCTTGTCATGGCATTTGGGAGCTGCAGCGGTAAAGTTAGTTGTAATAAGCTGCTAAGCTGCTTTCCCTCTCGATCTTGCCAGGCCGTGCGAATATCGCCTTCTGCGCCCTCGATCATCGGCCAGGCTCAGCGATTGCAAGACGCACTCGTTGAGGAGTGTGTGGAGGCAGCGAGCTCCTGCACAACATGTAAGCATGGCACCACCTGAATGATGAATGACTGAGAGTTTTCCTGCGATTCTCGCACATGTTCATGCCATTATGTTTGAACCGAAGACCTATCTCAACCGTAATAAATTCCGCCTTGAAGGCGCCTGACGACGAGCCAGAACCCAGCGCCAGCAATCCACATCTGCCGCCGCCGCCCAAAGCACGCCTGTCGGTGATTAGCGCCGAGTGGCTTTGCTGCTTTGGATTCCATTTCCCTTTCTGGTTGATGCAGAGAGGACGAGAAGTCCGGATTTCTGAAGGAGTATGCAAATCATTGCCGCGCTCAGGGACTGCTCTGAACTATCAAGTCAAACGCGCTGGCAACAGGCTGTCAAGAGTCGCCGGGCGAATGCGCCTAAAGCGGAATGCTGATGTGTTATCTATGACGGTTCAGATAAAGACAATCATACTGGGCAACAGAGGAGAAGTAACAAGCTGAGATATAGGCACAACATTCCACCGGCTCCGGCGGCTCCAACCATCCTTCCCAAGAACTCCAGCCAACGATTGGCACGCATCTGCACACTGCCGGCGTTTTGCGACTTCTGAGATTGCAACTGTAGTTTGGCGCAGCTGAGTCTTCCACCGCCTGGACTACCCTACCGCCTGTCTTTCCCAGCAGCTTGGCTAATGATATGCGCGCAAAAGGCTGCTTGGCCAGTATGCGGTCCACAGTCTCCTTGCTGTTGCTCTCCATTCTAAGAGGGCATCATGCTTCCTGGCTAGGGGGTGATGGTAGTCTGCCTCATTACTGTCCTAAGCCCCATCCCCTTCAAGGACACGAACTCCTCCGCGCATGTGTCGAAGCTCGGGTCACAAGTCACCGACAATACAGATGTGTCGAAGAGGAGATCTCAAGACACTGATGGCAGCAAGGCCACAGGGGAACTGTTGAGTGTGAGTGTTGACAAAAGGAGACGAAGTAAAGGGGCTGACGACTGCCACGAATATTATGAGCTGCCGGATCCACTGCCCTGCTCTACACTCCACATCGTTGTTGGCTCTTCTGGCTCTTGAATGTGTTGCCCCACTTGTCACCTCTGCTTGACCATTTATGTTGGGTCTTTGTAGCAAAGAGGGCAGGATTACGCACCTGCCACGTGGTTGCGCAAGTTCCAGGAAGAGACGCAAGAATGATGTCTTGCTAAATTGGACTGTGGCTTATGGCGGGAGCTTTTCGGAAGAGCTTGCGTTTCACATCTTCCGAGCCTGAATTGGTCTGGTCTGGTGGGCCATTAGTCTGGTCTGGTGGGGCAAAGTTGCCCTGTATGCTGTCGGTCGACGGAGCGTATCCGGCGTCTCCTGCAGTCCTTTCCAATCATTGGACCAGTCCTGACTGTGGGCCAGGAAGTGCGGAGATCGGTCGACATGCAGCAGGATGCCCCGACAAGTCCCCTGGGCACGATGAGGGTGAGCAAAGGTTGAAGTTTTGATGGTAGGGCATGGATGTCGCAAGAGAGGCGATTGGGATATAAGAGTGTCTCATTCAGCACGGGGTTTGGGCTCGTACTTATTCGGGGTGCAGCTGCACTTCAGAGCTGTCTTAAAAGCATATCCCATCAATACAGTAGGAAGGAGCGACAGAACGAATGCCAGAGAACACTACTGTGTGTTAGACAGGGCCGGAACTGCGAAGTACACATCAGACGCAGAAGCAACGTGCGAACCCACAGATCTGGAGCTTTTCAGGCAGTATGGTGGCCAGATGGCGAGAGCGATCGGACAGCCGTCTGGCTCGGCACATGTCTCGACGGTATTCAGCAGTGGACCAGGAGCTTCAGGGCATGGACGTAACATGACGAAACATAGCGAAACATCCCAACACGAAGTGCATGCAGGCCTCAGGCTTGGGTATCCCGTAAATCCTCAAGGCAGGCAGATATCCGAAAGGTAAGTCGGGAATTGGCGTGCTGCAGGCGCGTGCCCGTCGGGTAGGCGAGCATACTTGTCCCCTAGTCAGTCAACTGTACATCATGCTGCTCTTGATCACCATCGCCTGCAAATGCGTGTGTTTGGGGCACGTGGCCTCAGAAGCATCGCATTCCATCTTGCGAGTCATGCTCATGGAGCTTCCTGAGCCAGTGATGGATTGAGAGTTTCGAAGTCTTTGGAGATTTCCAGCATCCAAGGCACATTGTGGATCGGCCTGGATTTCAATGAAACTCTCTAAGCCCCTTCTTAAACCTCTGAACGCCAGTTCGTAGCCCTATCTGTCCATGTGAGCTTTCAGCCTTGCCAACTTTGGCTTGCCCACAGGAGATCGTTCGGGCAATTTCTCTTGCGAGGACGCTGCAAGGTCCCGGCTCAGCACTGGGCACTGATTCCGAGCATTCGTCTTCGTGCTAGTTCTTCGCAGGGTCTAAAGAGCATGTAGGCCGGGGAAAAGACAGCTTTGTACAACTGCCACTATGACTAATGTCTTATATGTGTCCAAGCATGTCCGCCGATTCGCACGCACTCATTTCTTTGGCAAGGCTGTGGGTCTATCTGGCGCTACAACCCAGCTCGGCTCTCGCCCGAGGAGTGGGGGGAAGTCTAACGTCCATCAGGGGCGATGAAGAGCCAACGGGTCACAGCCGTGCTCTTCACGCAGCTTACGCTACCGACTGAAGCTCTGAAGCTCTCATTCTCCACTTAAGCCAAACGGCCGAAACAGCCCCTTAGCCTCAAGCCGTCTCCCGTATCTGCACCAACGGTTTCCTGGAGGACCGCATGGCCATTTTCAACCAATCCGTCCCTGCCGGTTGGCTCTGGTTAGAGAAGCTTCGCAAAGGGATGCCAATTTGCGAGATTCAATAATAACCGATGCAGCATGGTGCCTGAAGCTGTTCCGTGCTCGGTATCCAGTACGGTTTTGTGCGAAGCTCACAACTGCAACGCCAAGGAATCTAGTGCATCAGCTGTGCACTAGGGCCCTGACTAGATCCCAAGAAGTGTGAGGGCCGTGCTATCAGCTTCAGAGGCAGCCTGCAACTGTGGGCTTTGAGAGGTCAATGTCAAAGGCGCCCTTTGAAGCGTAAGGATTGACTTGAACGTCAAGCATGTCCCTGCAAGCATAAGGTCGATTCATTCGATGTCTTCCTCTCCCATACTTGGTTTACCAAGGGAAGATGGAAGGCCGGGTTCCCATGGCGCATGACCAATGGGGATATCCATGGTGCTTGCATGTGCTTACGATGATTCCTTCCTGCAGGTGCTGACGCTCATGCTGCAGTTTGGATGGAAGTTCGTCTTGTCCCTGTGGGCCAGCGCAGCACCACGGCCAAACCTCACGCGGGGTCGGATGGTCGGACTTTTTTTCGGAGATTCGGAGGCTGCTTTCAAGATTCTGATGATATGGAGCCTTTTCAAGATTCTGATGATATGGAGCCTTTTTGGGTAGTTTTCTGAGATGGGTCGCACATGGATGCCTATCAACACCCTTCCACTTCTTGAAGCGAGAGCCCTTGACTAGGCGCAGCTTGATGCCCTGCCCGAACAGGGAAATCGGACTTCCGCCAGGTAATTGTTGCCGCTGTCCTTTGTCACATCGATGTGCTTCCGGCACCTCTCTCGTTCCAAGCCGACGTTGCAGATTTTGCTGGAGCGCCTCGTTTCAATAGTTTCAATAGAGGCTTTCATGACTACTGCTGGAGGGCTATGGCGCACTGCGTAAGACACTGTGTGCAGCAAGATGGCCGAGCCAAAAGAGCTTGTGTTCAAGGCACTTTTCGGAAAGAAACCCTCGAAAATGTCAACCCTGATGTCCAGAACGGCACCATGCAACTAAGCCAAGGAGTGTCCGTTGGGACCCTGGTGTTTGATCTTTTCCTTCGTGGCTGCTTGGCTATTCGAAGGAAAGTGTCGCAGACGAAGAGCGCATCGACTCAGTTGCTTTCTCTTTCTCTCTCTCACTCTCTCTCTCTCTCTTTCTCTCTCTCTCTCTCTTGCCCTGTCTCTCTCTCTCTCTTTGTCTTTTGCTCTCTTTCTCTGTGAATTTCCCATGGGACTTGGGAGCTGTTCTAAACCCCTGTGCTCTATGCGAGCCTGGGGTCCGGCTTGAATTTCAACATGGCATGCTTGTTACCTCGCGGCGTGCAAAGAGCTGCGAAAGTCCGGTCTCAAGGGATATCAATGTTCAGGCTGTGTGGCCTACGTGGTTTCGTGCTCACTGGCTGTAGGGTCCAGGATCGGACGTTTCGGTGTTCGCTCCCACGTGGCTCTGGCATACACTCTCTTCACGGTACATTCAGGCTGTCATCTGTGGTTCGCCAAAACGGGAAAGATAGTAGGGGCTTTTTTGGTTCATTCCTTTCACCTTTATTTCCAAGTCTATGAATCATCAACTGTGGTGCAACAGACATGAATATTTTGATACGGGCTTACATTATATTCACGCATTAACTTTTCATATAGTATGCCCGTAGTAAAAAATAAGAAGTGTCTTGTTCCGTTCACACCTTAATACGAATATTCACGCGTTAACTTGTAGTTGTAATATTAGAATTAATGTGCTCTCTTCACCCCGTACTCACCTTTCTATCCCGGGCGGTAAAGGGCCAAATGCGAATCAGTTCGGTCTACACACGCAAGTACTGAGTCCTCGTACACCACGGCTATGTGTAGCACAATCCCCACGCACGGAAGCGCGTGCGAGGCCAAGTCATGCTGGGACCCCACTTGCTTTCTCCGTCGTGTCTCATGCTCAGCAGTAGATCGACCTGACCCTTTCTTAGCTGGCCTGAGATGAGGAGAGTAACAGAGTAACCATCCGTATCACATGTCTACTGCCATTATCAAGAGCCCCTTGCAGCAGTGCAGCTGCGCTGTGAGGCATCTTTGACGGGCTTGGTCATTGCTCCATATGGACGTTCCTGCAAAGATGCGATGTGTTTCCTGGATGTGTGGGGCCTAGTGTGGCCATGCGTGCCAGGAGACATGTCGTTGTTGTTTCTTCTGGTTGCACCCTGCAGTTTTTAGGAAAATGTTCCCATTCAAAGATGGTTCGGGTTGCCTCTCGAAGCTTGTGCTCCATGTCAGGTGTGTCATTCCTGCACGTGCGATCATCTTAAAGGGCCCAGTCTCCCCCTCGCTCTACTCAGGTGGCGAGCATCCACCAGACAGATACCGATTTGATGGAGCGGGGCGTGTACGGAATCGGCGGCTTCTTGAGCATCTCAAAGGAGTCCCTAAGCTGCCATATGCTGCCATTTCTTGCCGCTTTAAACCTCTTTGCGTCCACTTTCGGGTTTGAGATCTGAGTGGCTTTCCTTGACTTCACGTGCGTTGGAAGTTTGATATTCGACCTCGCTCACACATAACACCGGCAATGTATCTACAAGGTCTTGGCAAGTCACGAGAGGTACAAGCTAGCAGATGGAGCCTCCGGATGTGCGAATCCGCTCTTATGGCCCCACCGCGAAGAGCCTCCTCGTAGGGGAGTCCTGACCCCGCAATGGCCCAGAAAAAGGCAATCGTGGTCCTGGTAGCTCACAGGTCAGGTCGATCAATCCAAGTCCCACTACGGGCACGATGTGATTAATATGATCCATGCTGTGGAAATGCGTCCGAACCCATGCTACCAAGACTTAGGAATTGCAGGCTAAAATCTCAAGAGCTAGTCTACCCCCGACCGTAGCCGTGTATCCAACACCTGAACCCTAAAGCTTGAACCCTGAGTCTTGAAGCACCTAACCCACACCTCCAAACCCTACACCCTAAAATCGCAACCCTATAAATCCTGAAGTCATCAAGCCCCTATTCAGAGGGCGTTTTTCAACCCCTGAAAATTGCACCCCTAACCACTATAAACCCCAAGCGCAATGAAGCGCCAGACGGATTGCCTGCCCACAACTACGCGTACGAGGGGAAATTAAATGCGAGCGCGCATATGCCTCCATCCCCTGCGTTGACGGGCATGGCATTGATCCATTCCATCCAAGGTTGCGCATTTTGTGGAGTCCGCCGTATTTGTCGCGCTTATGGTGTGTGTTCGAGCTTGCGGCCTACCGCAAGGCAGCTTCTGAAGATGTGCTTGTTGTGGATCCCCGCAAATCAGGATCGCTCATGACTGTTGACGTCTTAGGATTACAACTCGATTCCGAGCGAACTTAGCAGTTCCAAGTTCGTGGCAAGGTTGCCTGCTCAGGGCAATGGGTATACGCCGTATACGCTCTTGCATCTCCACTTGCACATTTACGAGTTGATATCTCGAAACCAACACAAGCCCACTTGTATTCGTGACATGCAACTTGTGCTTTGGCGGCCAGACAGCCAGGGCTTGTTGCATTGTTCACAACTCCAAGTGTTGTTGCCGAAGACTCCCTGATGCCTTCTGCGACTCACACATTGAAGTGCGTGCTCAGCGCGCTCCTACCCTGCAGTTCAGGTGAATCCATCCGGCAAAATTACTTTCGCACCGCTATTCGTTGAAAGAACGATTCTGATGGCAGCTCCTTGGCTCTTTTTCACGCCAGGCCTTGAATCCTTATTCCATCTTATTCCCATATCAATTCGAAGCAGCAGCTGGGGATGTGTTTTTTGGGGATGCAAGTTTTTGAGGTCCTCAGTATCGGACGTCGTGACGTCGTGCTTTTGTCTGATTGAGCTTCCACCTTCTCCACACATCTGAGGTGCTCTGCGTTTATCTCGCGAACTTCTGCATACTCGCGGCCAGCGCGAGCAGCGGCTCTCAGATGCTGGCTCGCGCCGGAGACTGGGATGAAAGAAATGTGAAGACCTTTGGAGGAACCTGCAAAGTCTCAAAGCGGAATAGGTTGCGGCCGCAAGATAGGACAACGCCAGCTTCCTGCAAAGCCTCAAAGAAGAATAGGGTGTGCCCGCAAGATAGGACAATGCCAACAGACTCCACAGAACAGTAAGGACGGGGCTGTCGCTTGAATCTTACTTGAAGGGAAGCGACTCCCATCCTACTCACCTGAAATCTTAACACTGCGGAGTTGGTGGGTTCTCAACCGGGCTGAGATGAAAGGGCTTTGGTTTAGGTCCCAGATGGTACGTTTGAATCATCGAGGATATGTGGCGATGTTCATCCCCTTCGCGCTGAATGTTCACAGCCCCCTGGATGAGACTTGATACGTAGAGTCGAAAAGCCAAGTTTTCAACTGTTGTCAAACAGGTCGAAGGTGTTGACTTTTGCCATTTTGGGGCGCAGGCCTGAACTATTTCTCCCCCCATACTCTCTAGCAGCTTGGGGGGGGGGTGGCCCTCAAGCGTTTCTATTCAATCTTCTCCCGACGGCGGCGCATCTGCCTGCGCATTTGTCTGCACTGGCCTGCGCCAGGGGTACTTGCCGAAGACGAGAACTATGCTATCACCAAGCCTGTCTTAGCTTCAAGAAGGGCTGGTAATCGCAAGATGCCGAATGATCCTCAAAATGCCGAGGGAAGCCAGGAAGACGCACCGTGTGGTTCTTTCCAGATCTCCTTCGCTTGCTGCAATTGCTTCCCCGAATAGTCGTACTATGCAGGCATAGCTTCGTGTCTTATGGGCAGTCCTATACACCAAATGAAATCCAACGGTGGAATTCGAAGCTCAGGTCTTAGGAAGAACTACCGGACGAAGTATCAGCTCCTATATGACATGGAGCACTTCGTCGCTCGGTCTCGAGATGGTTCCATGAATGTTTCATGGATGCTCTGGGCTTGGATGGGTTTTAGGAATCCTGGGTTTTAGGAAGCGTGGACCGGTCGTATCTTCATCCTCGAGACATTCTAGGGGGGTCCCTCGGAATCGTCGTCAGAGCTTCCTGCTGCAGAAGCTGGAGTTCGTGGCGCAGGCTGCGCAGGCGTTGCAGCGCGTGAAGTGCAGGAGCTCATTGCAATATGGCTGTTGGGGTGTATAGCGCCTAAAGGGTTTCAGCAGATCACACCTTGAAGTTGCCACCGGATCAACCTTTTACATACCTTGACAGTCAGCGACCTGAATAGAAAAAATAGAGTCACACCCACCAGCAAACAGCGTGCAATGCGTGATTGCACAGAACCATCACGCAGCACCTACAATCCTAACATTGCTGTTCCAAGGATCTGGGCAACGTTGGTTGTTCGAATCATTTTGACGGAGCCGGTGCTGCAAGTGGTCTTATGGAAGGCTTCGGCATGTTGTGGTCTGCCAAAAGGACAATGCGTCGGCATCGTCCCGCAGTTGGTGTCGAAGCCAGGGTTTAGGACGTTGGACACATAGATCCTCTGTCATCTACCGCCCAAGGCCGACAAGGGCGCGTAACACAGAGAAGCCACATGTCGCTTCAGCTGAAAGAGCCCGCGGTCTTGCTGAGGAGAGTTCATACAAGCAGCGATCACGAAGTGGTACGGCGACCAGGACTGGGCGCTGTTTAACAGCCGACAGCATGAGAAATGGACACCTACGCAAACCTGCTCCCCTGATCTGTGAAGTGTCCGACTTGGTACTTGCTGCACACCTCGAAGCCACCAGGAAGCGTTTGCGGCTTTCATCCAAGGGCCACTTCGGCAAGAGCTCCAAGCAACAATAGGCCCACGCCGGTTTATTCTGGTTTTGCTCCACGAGCTTCGCTGAAGCCAGAACAGCGTTCGAATTCACGAGTTGGAAATTCGTCATGTATCGCTAAGTTGCCGGACATCTTGTTTTTGTGGGCACATACGTACAACCAGGCTGCTGTGAGCATGTGTAAAAAAGCATTTACCTGATGTGAGATGCTACGAATTGTTGATGCCGCGCAGCAGTGCATGCAGTGCATGCAGCGGCAGAAGGTGTGTCGCCTACTCTGAGGGGCTGCTTTCACTGTGTGGCTGCGGGGGAGGTTCTACCCATGTCCCGCTCTATGGCGTCCTCCTGTTCGTGACACCAACAGTGAGCTTCTCCGCCTGCAAAGGGACTGGTCATTGCGTGTTGCTGTCATTTTGGTTCCGAGATCCTTCGGGTTTTGGGACAAGCAGTCCTGCAATTGGTGCAATCAGAACCTTAAGACTTTAGATCATGGCGCTTGCTGGTTTATTCTCACCATGCCCATTCCTGTGAAACAGGTTCCTGCTTTGCACCGGCTGCTGTCACAAAGTCACATATTCCATTCGTTTTTGGGTTGTTCATGTCCAAGACCTCTCTTTTCGCCTGGGTCCTGATGGCACTACCCCAACGAAGTTGCTCCGGGATTTCTACGCTTCAACACCCTGTTTAGATATTTCGTGCGCTACGTTTTGCTCTTGTTTTTGTCCCCTCTCCGGATTGGGCCTCCTGAAACATCGCCAAGCCTGAGAACAGGTGTGTCCGTCGATTTCCTTCTTGCATTGGTGAGAGCAGGGGCATCGACGGAAAGCTTGTTGTCTTACGCTCCTTGGCTTCGGAGACTCAGGAGCCATCAGAAGAGAGGTAGGGATTCAGATTCTCAACAGATTGCAGCTCTTGAAGTACTGGACCCTTGTGCGAAGCGGATGTCTCGTTGTAATTCTCATTCTCGTCACCATCAGCAGAAGCAGCCGCCGCAGCCGTGGCCGCTTTCCGCAGCCATAGCAGCGGCGTTTCAAGCACCAATCACCGCATCAACATTCACGTCGCCGCCGTCATCACCATCATCACCCGCACCACCACCGTCACCATCACCATCTTCACCACCATCATAACCATCATCACCATCACTATCATAACCATCATCACCATCATCAACATCGTCTTCGTCATCGTCGTCATCGCCGCCGCCCCTCCATCGCGTCTTCATCCTGGTTGCCATCCTCGTCGTCATCATGTTGTGCTATGTCTTTGGGGTTTGAGACAACATGGCGGGCCCAACTGCGGCCACGTAACGGTGTAAGTTCCAGGTTTCAACCCTGTGAGGCTGACAAGCCAAGTACAATCAAGAATCATATCGATTCATACTGTTTGGTATGGTGTCCTGGGTTCCTGACAAGGTGTTGGGAATACTCGTGGGCGTGAACATGATTTGGGTGCCTGCTTGCCTGGTTGTGATGAGCCTTTGGCAGCAGAAAGGCAGCATGGCATGCGCCTAGCTAGGCATTGAAGAGCTGGCTAGAGTTTGGCTACGGCCTCGGAGATGCGCTACCCTGGTCATATGCCTGGTCATATGCCTGGGATCCCGGCATTCACTCACCCAGAGGCACTGAGGTTCGAATACACATTTGCCCCATTCTGAATCATTGACTGTCACGTGCACTGACGCGTACGTGCACCCAGAAAAAGGATTCACCAGATGTGCCCAGCGTTCCACCACTGCATCTTGGGTACTTCCAAGCCGTGAACAATTTTTAGCTCAATGTCCGAACTTCCACACCCTAAGCCGAACACGGTGCGGGGTATTGCTGGGTCATCTTAGGATCAACTTGGCCGATCACTTCGCCCCGAAGTGGGACGGGGCCATGGATCACCTGCACCTGGGTCATTGTTCGGTGTTGATAGAGAAGGTTGTCTGTGTAAGATTGCAGACAACAAAACGTTCAAGGGACCCGTTTTCACATGGGTGCTCCAACCTACCCCTGTTCGCCTATGCGCCTATGCCAACGAAGCAAGGACACAGAAGCGCAACTCTAAGTCTTGTGTGGCATCTTTTCAGTCCGCTCTTGATGTAGGGAGGCACTGGCCAAGATATGTACAGAATTCCTTTCAGGCAAACAGCTGGGATCTTGGTGCTAGTCTTGGCCACTGGGACAGCAAGATGCCTCGGATCTTGGAAGGGCTTGCAAGGGGGATTTGATTTGATGCGTCGGGCGCATGAAGCTTTATCCAACCCCTGAGGTCCGCAGTTTGTGTACTAGTAGTCCATCTTGGCCTATCTTGCTTCGCTGTGAGGTTGTGGTGGATGCAGGTCGCCTCCTTGCTGGCTTTGCAGCTCGGGCAGAAAGTTGGGCGATCCAGCTCGTCCTTCCACAGCCATAGGCTGGAATAGGCTTCCTTTTTCGTGTCAAAGGCATCCATCTCTGCATCCACAGCCCTCCGGCCCCCATGCAACGGCGCCGTGCACCTGTAGTACCCGTTTGTCGCCTTTTTCGCCTTTTGAAAAGGATTGCGGGAGGCCAGCCAATCTTTGATAGCTGAACTCATGAGAAAACGCGCTAAGCACAGGCCTCGTCATCTCTTGTCTCCTTATCTCCGTGCCAAGCTGCTGCGAAAAGGCATAAGGCTGCCACTCAATTTACGCTGAGGCGTGCGCAACGAGTCTCTGGGGCGCCTGTGTGTTCCTTATGATGGCCATTGCAGCTGGAGCTACTTGACATATCCGCTGGGGGGAGCTGCCATGTTCCCGGTGGTGCATGGTCAGAGCATAGTGGTTCGCCTTAGGCCAATGAGCGCGGCACTGTTGCTGCAAACATGTTTCGCGCAATGTGGTTGTTAGGGGGTGTGCTTTTGTGGCACACTGTCGCTGTGTTAAAGTGCTGCATGACGGCATGATATTGTTTACATGTCTTCATGAGAAGCCAACTCGCTGCGAGTTGGGCATTGTCTGTTGTCAGCCTGAGCAGCAGGACCTCCAGGCCTACATTCGCCCCGCAACCCCAGCCCAGAATTCTGTGCACCCTCGCTGCAGCAGTGCCGATGAGTCCTGAGCCCAGTCTGAGGCTGGAGCCCTTATCGTCCAACGCCGACGGGGCAGTCCAACTGTTGTGCAGAAGGTGGAGGAGTGCAATTTCTGCCATCTTGGGGTGCACAGAACATTACAGTATTCAATAGTACATTACTGCACCGTGTACAGTATTCTTCTGTCCTGCACAAGAGCACGTGCTTGAGGGAAAGGGGTGCGGGGTTGCAAGATTCTGGGACTTACGCTACTTGGGACAGTCAGCGTACTTGCATGTACTTGCCTGTCTCTTCAGCCCGTCACCAAGCATTCCGAGTCCCTTCTCGTCTCGATTGAAATGCTTAGCCGGACGGCAGTCTGAAAGTTGCTGTGTGCCGAGTGTGAGTGCAAGGACGACAGGACGGACGTTGAGGAGGCAGAGGAGGAGCAGGAAACCGAACAGAACGGGTCAACCTCACAGCTGGAAAAGCTGCCACTGTACTTCCCGTCTGAGGCTGAGGCAGACACATCCCTGTAAGAGAAGGCAGAAAATTCTTCAGGATACAATGGTCCGGCCATCTAGCTACAACCTCCCATGTCTCACCTAGACTGACAAAGTCAGTTGACCATCGTTCGGAGGTTGCTTAGGACCTTAGGAGTCTTGGATTCGCTCGCGCTCCAAAAGAGATCGCCGTGGGTGCCCAGCAGCAGAGTTAAGGTGAACGGTCCTCAGGGCTTGTCTTAGAGCTCCATTGGTGCCCTGCCGAATCCCGGCCTACGTTCTCTTTTTTTGTCTTAGCCATTTTCCAGTTGGTACAACAGGTGCCAACTCTATGCCGGAGCCCAATTGACCCCTTGTGGCACCAACTGGAGTGAAGATTTCACAGCGATGCAATTGCATTCGTTTCCCAGGTCCTGCAAAGCCTACCCTGGCGCCTGAAAGCTCGAGACGATTGCTGTACCTTTAACGTCAGACAGTAATTTCTGGGGGTTTTTCGAGAAGGTTGCTTCGCTTTGCCGGACCCCGTGCCTCCACCGCAAAGGCTACTTTGGGCTGACTCTTTCGGTTCCCCCGGAGGGCATGCGTGTTTGGATGAGTTACTTGTACTATGTCCCACTACTCGGTGCCTGAAGACTGCTGTCTTCAAACAGTTGCACAAGCCCTGGGCAGGAAGCCCTGGGCAGGAAGCCCTTCCTGAAAGCCTTTCTTGGAAGCGGCACTCTTGCAAGTTATGAAAGGGGAGATGGCTCCCCTCTGGCACTCTGAGAATCGCTAAAGGCTAAACACAAGAAACGCACGTAGGTCGCAGGCTGGGAGGTAAACCTGGTGGAGCCAAGTTCCCGAGCAGCCTTTTTCAAACCGCTTTGGCTCGAAAAGGTGCGCGCAAGACGTTCATGATGGGCACGAACCCTAAAAGCCCCAACAAAAAACCGTCCTTTGAGAAGAGGTCCGAAATGACCCTGCTCTGTTGCAGCCTCTCCCTGGAGTGCGACTCCAAACCGCATTCTCTGTGAGAAGCAACTCCTTTACTCTTGTGAGGCATCTTCAGTGAGAGAGCTTGGCTTATCATGTGAGCCATTCAGGGACTTTATCCTGTAAAGTATGGCAGCAAGATGATGTACTCAATAGCTGTAGCAAGAGTACGAGGACTTGCACACATGACATGCGGGCTATTGGCGGCTTATTGGCAACCTGCGGCAGCTCCAATCTCCCAACGCGTTCTGCAACCCTCTGCCTGCATTCTAGGGAGGGCTTTGGGCTCTGATACAGCTCTCTTGCAGATCCTGCAGCCACAGAGCCCTACACCATCCTACACCCTCTGAACCCCTAACCGCTACGAATGAATCTAAACCCAAAACAGAAGGAACAACTTCAAGAGTCCTAAACTCGAAGTCCCACAAACAAAGGAAAGCCCAGAGTTTGCTCGAAGACCTGCGGCGCTGGGCCTTGGAGGCCACCCTGACGAATAGCGTAACTGACGGGAAAGTTCAAACTTCAGCACGTGATTCATGAGTGACCTCTAAGTGGCGAAAAGAGGGCTCAGGTTTCGTTTGAGCGCTGTAGGGTTCAGGGCTTAGGGTTCAGGAGGGATGGGCCTTGAGATGCCTTGATGTTTCAGGACCACAGCACGTTCTGGCACAGCTTTTCGGCACATGCTGCTTGCAGCCGCTCAGGGCAGTTCTTAGGATGCCTTAGGGTTTCAGCTTGTGGCTTGAATCGTACTCGCCCTGCGAAACTCCTGCCCGCCAGGGCTGGCGCCTCTTCGCCACCTTGGTGCGAGGTGAACGCCGCGTAGCTGTCGCCTGTGGCCGTGCACGGGCCGGGGCCCCAGTCCAACATCAAATCAGTTCCGGTCTAGCTTGTGCACATTTGTGCGCGGAACAGCAGATGAACACAAAACAGGCGCGCATCCCCTAGCTCCAAATCTAACAGCCGCGCGTCCCCTAGCTAGAGGTGAAAGAGAGTAGC